TTAGCTTTGTTTCACTGACTTTCGTGAGGGTTGATGTGACTTCGAGCATTTCAAGACCGTTGCTAAAGATTATAGCCCCAGTACATAATCTAGCGCCAAATGTTGAGCTGTTTACCAATGGTGACTGAGAGCTCAAATCAACTCGCAATCGGTGACGTGACGTTACACTGATCTGCGACCCTACGTGTTCGGGACGTAGATTTCCCGTTTCGCTAGCTTCCCTGCATCGTGTCACGAGTATCGTGTACATCATTGTCTCAGAGATAATGTCTCGTCATGCTCTCTATGTAAGCTTTTTTACATCCATAAATGACATGGTTATCTGATATTAGCGTCACGGATGCTGCATCAGCTATTTCTGTCTCGAATCAATTTCCTTTCGCTGAGTCATCTGGGAAGGATGGCCACATCGTCAGGTCGCTGTGATTTGTGCGTGAAGGTGACGCCCATGGTAACCACGTTATGGTTGTGTCCAAATTGGCCTGCCCACGTGAATTGATCGATTTTCTGGTAGCTTAGTGTCTACGGCTGTCATCGGCTACTAGTGTCGAGTTGCACAACACACAACTGTGTCTGTACATCTCCAAGGATTTGTTTCAGTGATACTTCACTATGAACCCAACTATCTCTCGTCTGGTGGTCTCCGTTGCCCTCCTCAACGTGGTCTGGTGTTATAGAACCTACTTCCCGCCCAGTGAGTATTATTGCTCCGAGAAAGCGAGTCATTCTGGACACGAGTTCGCTCTCCGCTTCCCTCGGTCACCCAGATGGTTCAGGGATACCTTTAGCGTTCTTCAGTACGGCAGACCTATCGTATATGGCGTCCCTTACGAGGAGTTCGAAAAGGACCATGAAAGATTCGTTGCGCCCAAAATTGATTTCATGCGGTTCGTTCATGCCGCGCAGTCACAAAATTGGGCTGTTGAGAACTGGAGGCATATTTCGTATGACAATAGGGCTGACAGCATTACCATTCAGCCGAAGAAAAACGGCAAAGTGTTCACGCTGAGGGCGAGCAACTGCCCCTTTAGATGATTACGATCTCGATGTGGAGACTCGATATCCACATGTGATCTTTTTGTATTTCATCTACTGAACAGCCCTGGTTCATGCAGCCAGTTCTGTTCTCATTATTCTCTTCTGTACTCGACATATTTTGGCCACTTTGCTGGCACTCATCAGCACAGTCGTATTTATTTCCGAGGACAATATGATGCTGAGTATACGACCAGATCGTAGATCAACTATCGAATAAAGGTTGTGTTCAACAGTTGTGGAGATTTGTCAAGGAAACTGTGCACAGTGATGAAAGAATACAGAGTCCCTCTGCCCTCACAAAAACAGCCGTTTTCCAAGCCGTACACGTCTGTGCGACAAACGTGTAATATACTTGTGGAATACGACAGCCTGTCGTATCTCTGAAGGTTATTTACTCACAAAAGTTTGCCACACCTGTGCATCGATTCACACTAATTGTTAGTGTGAACCAACTTGGTATCTTTCACTGCATGGATGTGCTTCTCATGAAGCCTCTAGAGTATTTCATCACCGCTGTCATCGACATTCGCATCTTTGAAAGGCCATCTAGGTCGATAATTGGCGGACCAAACAGTGCGAACCTAGTGAAGGGTTTCAGTCAAAAACATCACTCACTCACCCTAACAGATAGTGTAGCCGACTTGGATGTGTCAACCTACCTTCCTTTCCACCATTATTGAGCCCGTCTGCGATAAAGTGTAGTGGTTTGGCCGGCCACTTGAGCCAGTGAGCACGTCTTGCATGAGGTGTCGCATGGTCTCGTAGACCAAGTTGTGATCGGAGAACTCACCTGCCTCGAGAACTGCAGACACTGGATGCTGCGCAGTGAACAGATGAATGAAACGAACCGAAGACGGTTAAGTTACGAAGGGCTCGTGGCTCAGACTGACTATGAAACCAGCAGAGTCGCTGCCATCGGAAAACGAACAAACGGTAGTCGAATGTCACAGTAGGAGCGATCATGGAAAGTCAATTAGCAGTCACCTGGCCAGCGGGGCAATCCCTACTGCCCCTGAGGACAACGCGCGCGACTGAGCCACAATATGTAGTTCAGGCAAGGGTGGCTATTAAAGGCACTGACACAGAATATATGCCCACGAACAGCGGGGGGCTTTCATGGCGTACTAATCTTAGAAGAGTGAAATCATATCGAGATAGAACAGTGTGAAAGACAGTAGCCCTCAGCAAGTAATAGACCTATACATAACATTGACCCGATGAATGATATAAGCCCAACTCGAGACCACATAAAGGAAGGATAAAACTTCATCCCAGCTTTGCATGATGACGATAGTTGTGTGGTACAAGAGCGAATAGTGACTACTTCTTTAATCGATTAAGCATCTCCTGCTCGGCCTTTCTAGCTCTTTGAACACTCTGAGCGCTCGCCAAATCGGGAACAACTTTGCTTGGATCCTTCTCGGTGTCCATCCGGTCTTTTCGCCAGGAGTGGAGTTCACCGTCGCACTGCTCGCCCGAGTCGGCGGCCTCATCGAAGGCTGCGTCATGCAGTCGTCTCTCGTACATTTCAAGCCACAATGACTTGACCACAGATAACTGGTCTGCTGTTGGAGGGCCGCCAGATACCTCGAATTCTGTCTTTTTCACGAGCGATGGTATCCTACGATTTTGGACCCCCCTGGGGTCTTCGTTTGGGAACTTCTTGTTGATCATCTCTGCGAATGAAACATCTCCACCCTGATGTAGAGTGCTCTCCTACTTGCAATAACAGCATGATCACTCCATGTTGTGAATGGTCGGAGCCCTGCCACCGCTACTGCTAAAATTGGCCGCACCACCAAAGCGCTCTTCGATAACATTCAAGATGTATAAAAACTGGCGATTGATCTCACTAGATGGAACTGTCTGAAATTTTCTTCCGCAAATGTTCAAGTAGTGTCAGGCTCGCGACTTTAGCGCTGGATTCATCGGATGCAAACCCACCTCGGTGTTCGTAAATTGATTCGTGTATGGGAACTGTTGTGCACTTTTCGTGCATTCCACTTCTAGTTGATCTTGTGGCTGCCTCATGCGGTTTCACGATGATAACAACAATCAGCAGCAGCGTTCGAGGATCGTCCAAGATGAACATACCGAACAGTCGTTAAAGGTGGCCAGCGGCGCTAAATTCCAGAGCGCTGCAGTCCAGACACGAAACATTGGTATCCTGTTCATGAGGGGCGAGACAGATCATACACAGTTAGGGGTTAACAATAGATACTTCTTGGCGTTTATACGCCTCTTGACCTTCGCTTTGAATACATGGTTGATAGTATACACTTTTATAGAGGTATATAACGCAGTGAAGATGCTTAACTTGGTTGAACTGCTTTTGTATGGACGTGGCTATGATGAACAAGGGATGACTGAACAGTGTAAGAAAGATGCTAATGGGAGATGCTTCCAGCATTTGAGCATTCTCATAGCTCAAGTAAGGCCCTCGAGGGCTCCTCTTGCTACCTCATACTTCCCGAAGGGTTCAGGTGGTGATCGAGCTCGGTAGTTTATCGTATATGTATCTACGGCTTGTATTCCTCCTGGCCGGCCTATTCTGTATGAGACAACGTGATGATGGACAATGGAGAGCAAAGACGGTCCTCAGAGCTTCTAGAACGATGGTATACATATCAGGAGTATCGACACTAATGTTCTCGCCAAGTCCTATGCTACTGCAAACTATATGGAACTATATGAATGATTTCTATCTTGTCCACTGTCCAAGGGCACTGTTGAAAGATGACCTCCCGCTGAGAGGGAAACCGAGCGGAGAGGTAGCAGCAGGAACTCGGCGTTTTCAGTTGGAGGAAAGTATTCAGGTTCTGCATGGGTTACCGCTGGAGTCATCGACTCATCCACTCACTGGAAGGTCTCTGCTGCATAGGGCTCTATACTTTATAGGCAGAGTTAGCTTACTATTGTTGTTTGGGATTGTGGTGGGCTGCAGTTGCTTCTTCCTCATCTGCAAACTCACTTCTTTGAGCTTTGCTATAAAGCACAACGTCTTCTCCCAACTACGCCTTCTACCTTTGGTCACGTATATAGGAGCTCTCAATCAACTGGTGATTCCACCGTGGCCATCAAATTCGGGGATAAGTGACATTGTCAGGCTTATGTGAAGGATTCGCAGTGGAATAGGGGAGCGAGCGAACAGCTGTACCAGAATTATCGATTTCTGTTTGCGGCACCAAGCAGTGGAGAGCCGGCTAGCACTGCTGTTAGAGAGGCTAGAAGGAAAGGAAAAGAAGAGGAAATACTACTGTTTCGCGCCAGAATAGTCTCCACGTTATTGAAGGAGTAGGAGGTCGTAACGTCAGCTGGGGAGATGTCCTGTTTGGTAGGTTCGGTTTGGTCAGAGGCTTCTTACTGTCGTTGTCTCTTGAAGTTCGAGATGAAGCATTCGTTGCCCATCATGCGCCTCTTAAATCAGCTCTTATGCACTCAAGGAAGCGTTCGTCGAAAAGTGTTATTGGCAACGCTAGCTATACTTCATTTTAGTCGCTAATTATACCATGCGAATATGAAACATAACTATTGTGATCCCGTACTAAGGCCTTGTATTCATTCACACTGATGATGTGATAGTTCTGACGAGAATGCAGCCCTCTGGGAGTCCACCAGCTGGGCCGTCCTCATCTTCAGCAGCCGGTCCGCGGGGTTATCCCACACCTCTTTTCACCACAGTCACACCGTCATCGCGATCTCAGTACCTTAGTCGTGGAAATCGACTGATCGGACCCTCACCGTATGTCAGCAAAGCACACAGAATTGACACGAGTGTTTATGGAGGCTACAACACTCGTGGTGAGAGAGAATGGCAGGCTAGAAAGCTGAGGTGTCTGGTGGATCTGCACGCATGCTCAACAAACTTCCAACCGTTCTGGGTCCAGGCTACGAACCTTACTCTGATGCTAAAATATGAACGCAGTAAACTGTGGAGAATCGGTGACGCATGTTTCAGATTGCTCACGGTGTGTCTCAATACGGGCTTCATTGTCTTCACTTTCTACCAAGCTATGAAATCCATATCAGGATTGAACTTGATGATTGTTTTGGCATTTGGACGAGATGAAGCTGTGAGGCAGGCGGGAGCGGTACCGCCTAACTGTGAGGATCCGGCGATGGTCAACGACCAGGAGTGCTTCTCGTATGTACGTATACTATTAGTACAAGTGGTTATTGAGTTATTGGCTATTGTTATAATGTGGGCTCAGCTGTTGGTCACAATAGCTTCATCGAGGAGCCTGCTACGTATCAAGATAACAATGCTGCACATATCGGGTTTCTCAACACTACTCTTTTCGCCGAATACTATGCTCGTACAGGACCTGTGGCGGTTCGTGTGGACACACCTGAGGCCTAGACGTGGTAACCCATGGACTATAGCACGAAGGGAAAGGCGTGGAAGCACTGCTGGTTTGGCTCTCAGAATGGAGGTTTATATGCTCAACTTGGCAGCTAGAGTGACTTGGTCTCTTAAGGCGTTGATAGCTGTTGTTGCCTTTGCTACCATTTTTCTTCTTACTGCATCATTTCTCATATGTAAACTAACTTCACTGAGTTTTGCTATTGAAGGGACCAGCTTGGGGCTCTCCCTTTTTCCAATACTGTCATATGTTGCTGCTCTCAATCAACTGTCCTATGCCATGGATGTGCGTTGGTTCGACGGAGCCTTCGAGCACCTCTATCACAACTTCCCTTGGTTGCCCTCGGTTACTAAAGGCTTTCACAGTCCCTATGTCACTGGCTTGCGAGCTGCTCGCCAGAGAAGACGGAGCCAAATCACTGCGTTCCGTAGGAGAATCCTAGAAGGCTTGATGAGACTCCACGGACGGCTCCTAGGTGCTTTGCTAGCTCTTAGTGTAACCGTTCAAGACGAGGCGTTCATTGCTTACTTTCCCGCCTATCAACTGCTGCCTAGACCACCTGATGTTTTGATGACAAATGGTGTAGTGTGAGTGGCGAGGCGCGTGGTATTGAAGTTGACTGACAGTTGAGTATGTGAGTAGTATTTGAACTATTGAACACATAGTAGCATGGTTTCAAATGCATGTTGTTCTTCAATTCAAGTTGCCGATCGTACACGGACAACGTTGCTCCATGATAGTGACTTTCATGGAAGATCTATGACCGTTGTGTTGATCCTGACTGAGGTGTGGTAGCCACTTAATAGTACACCAACTCACGTGTAAGGGTACAGGAGTGCTTATTGATGGGAATTCGTACCACTACAAGCCGCAAGAGTTGAATTGGTTGTATGTTGCAGCCTCGACACAAAATGGGACAGCTGCGCGTGATGAGGCTCCTTATAGGTTTCCTATGTCAATGTCGTCATGAGTATATGACGCTGGTTTCGACACACTCATTATAGATTGCCCTAGGCCTCCGAGTACGTTGGGACGCCCCTACGAGCTGTGGTGCTGGGCGTGTCGTGACTGTTTTTAGCTTACATCTGTCGCTAAAATATCGTTAGCTGAAGTATCTTGAACATTGCCTTTTCAAAGTGTGTTATTAATGTATGTTCAATCGTAGAGACATTCCGACGGAACTTGCAGTAGAGTGTCTCTAGCTGGTTCAATTTGGTTGTTTCTACATATTTCTCAGAGTTTTCTCTTCGTGTACTGTTTCTTCTAGTATCGTTTTGGTCTATTCGTCGCTCCGCCTTACTAAATCAGGTTCAGAGCTGTTGGTGAGATGGTGGGCAAGCATGGTGAGATGGCAGATACTTTGACATGTCTTTTGAGGTTAGCGGTCATCATTGCAGCAGGTTGATACCCACCTTGTTAATGCCATGATGAGCAGCTCCACTGGGTGTGAGGTTGGTGATGTTCCTGTGCATGTTTCTCAGCAAGTCGGTCGTGCTTCTGAGTTGGGTGTCGTATTGGTTGGCAAGTGTCATATAATATTAACTTGTAGGTTTTCATTCATTAGTTTAATTATGCTTTCTTCCGTTTCTTCGTCCGCTTTCAACACAATTTCGAGGCGATTCCTCGCCACGGTTCGTGGTGGCCAGATTGCTAGTGTTGCCGCGAGAACTGTCACTGTAGCTTTGGAGGACGGCTCTCAGGCTACTGTGTCTCGTCCTGCTGGCATTGACAATCAGTGGTTCCTCCCCGGTAGTCATGCCGTGTGTGTTGACGACAAGTTGGGTATGGTCACGAATCCTGAAGGAGCTGTATTGAAGTTCGAGTGCATCCATCCCGAATTGAACGGTGACGATAGATGCCCTGATTGCCCTCGCCGGAAATTCGATGAGAAGACCAATTAGACCTTCTTCTGTAGTGTTCGGCGATGAATCGCTATTGACATTACTTTCACTTGTTCATTGCTGAGCTGACATCTTGTCTGAGGATGTCAGACTCAATTTCATTTGTTGGTGTGTTTTGTTGTAGTAATTATTGAAAAGTATGGATGTAATTCTTATGAAGTGGTAGGTTAGGCGGGCGGGTAGATTTAAGTCAGAGTGCTGTGAATACGCTTGGGGTATGATGAGAACGAATCTGTCAGGAATCTCCATACAACAGTAGCTGAGAATGAAAGTAGTAGCAACATTGACAGTACTAGTGAAAGCAGTGGTACTGGTGACGGTAGCTCGTCAAGCAGTAGTGTGTCTAGTAGTAAGGTAAGGAAAACAGGTAGACACTAGTGGAAGTGGGTGTTGTGGGTGTGTTTGAAGCAGTGTACAGTGTGCACTCGATGAAAGGATAGGTCAGGATAAATTAGTGAATGCGCAGGGTCTATGAGAGGTGCGCAGGGTCGTGGAGGTGGTGAAGGCAGATTCGCCTCGAAGTTGGATACTATGGATGATGGGAGATCCTTTATAAAGGTGTGAGTCATGACCAGCTACCTCACTGACTACTGCTCGGTGAGCGCGACTCAACAGGCATTGTCGATGATACGTTGCACAAGAACAGTGGGACGAACGGGAAAGGTGCGCATTCATCCAACTACTGTCGTACAGCATATGCCCCCAAGGCGTGTTGCGTCGGCGTTATCGATCATCATGGCGCGCGCGATACTCACTTTAGGCTAGTGGCTTGGCTCAACCACATCTTTACTTCTATACCTCTTACAGTCATGTCCCCCAAGCCTTTCGTCGGTGGTAACTGGAAATCTAACGGCAGCGTTGAGTCTATTAAGAAGCTTGCCCCTGCCCTTGTTGCTGGTGAGGCCACTTATAACAAGGATGCTGTTGATGTTGTCATTGCCTCTACTGCCATTCACCTTCCTTTGGCCATGGAGCAGTTCAAGGGCTCTAACATCCAGATCTCGGCTCAGAACTGCAGTAAGACCGGTCCTGGCGCCTACACTGGTGAGATCACTGCTGAGATGATCAAGGACGCCGGCCTTAACTGGACCATCCTTGGCCATTCCGAGAGGCGTCATCTCTTTAACGAGACCAATGAGGATCTCGCCGCTAAGGTTGCCAAGGCTGAGGCTGCTGGCTTGAAGATCATCTTCTGCATTGGTGAGTTGCTTGAGGAGCGTGAGGCCGGCAAGACTGAGGAGGTCTGCGCCACTCAGATGGATGCTATCGTCCCTGTTGTGAAGGATTGGAACAACATCGTTATCGCCTATGAGCCTGTCTGGGCTATCGGCACCGGCAAGGTGGCCACCACTGAGCAGGCTCAGGAGACCCATGCCTCCATCAGGGCCTATCTTAAGTCTAAGGTTAGCACCGAGGTCGCTGAGAGCACGCGTATTCTCTACGGTGGCTCTGTGAACCCTGGTAACTGTGGTGAGTTGATCAAGTGTGCTGATGTCGATGGTTTCCTTGTTGGTGGTGCTTCCCTCAAGCCTCAGTTCACCGATATCATTGCCGCTGCTGCCCAATCCGCCTAAGCGGTGGTTGTTTCATTCGTGTTGTTGCATTGTCGTCTTCATCCCAATGGATATTACGAGTGCCTCTCAAGGGGTTATCCCCGTTGAATACGAGTTAAGCTCAGTTACGGATTTGCGTTATCCAATTCGAAGAAATGAGGGAGGCGGTAGTAGTCGCTATGGAGTGCGTTTCGATGGGTCTCGTGCTGGGTGCTGGCAGCAATCCTGGATAGTGATTGATGGAAGCATTGGAACTGCCGGTAGTAGTTTTAGGATCTAGGTAATGTAGTGTTTGAGGTCCACGCCTCGTTACAGTAGTCTCTGAGTTGTCCATGAATATAGCAGTTGTTGGCGGTTGTGGTGCGGTTTGCCAGAGCTGTGAGTTAGGCAAGCCCGTTCTCTATGTGGGTGATGAGGCTCCATATGCTGTGGAAGTTGTTGATGGGGTGCAGCATCGGTTTAGTAAAGACTTCAAGATGGGTTGTAGTTGCCTGAAGGAGTCCGCGGCCCATGCCTGTATCGAGCAAGAGGGTTCACTTGGTGATGCTCCTTCAGTGCGGTCGTCGTTGATATCATGGTCTTCTTATTCGCCTAAGATAGGGAGTCTCCGTCGTAGTTGTTACCTTTATGAGTTCGCCGTCTCCGCGCATCCCAGAATTCTCCATCAAGATTGATCAGCAGACGGCGGTTCTGTTGGCAGCTGGTGGCGTTGCTATCGGGAGTGCTGCCCTTCTATTATACAGAAACAACATGGAGCCGGGCACGAGGATGCCTAGGTTCCTGCAGCGTTTGGCTGACTCCCTTTACACGCGAGCTGGTGGTCAGAGCAGTGATGCTAGGAACGCCACGAGCCACATGTCTTTCCCAACAGTCGCCCCGCCGGTACTCTACGAGAGAGGTGGTAATGGGCAAACGTGTGAGGAAAGACTCTACGTTCAACTACATGTATTGGATGCTAATAGCAGTGCCAATCTGCCGGGGGCCAGGGAGAAGCTGAAGAAACAACTGGAGACCCGTGATGTCTCGTCAGTGGTTTATGATGATGTTAACAATCCTAGGTCTATCGGGCTGCTAACTTGGAGCACTGATCCGTCACATTTCGTGAAGGTTGTGAATCCAATACTGCAGATGGGTGGCATTGGGGACGTCTTGACTCCGCGTCCGAGATGGACTATGTTTGGTAAAACTTATGCCAACGGGCATGAGCCCAGCCTTGTTGATTTCCTGATCGAGAAAGTGCCTAGGAATGCAACTAGAGCGGATGCCCCGTATGCAGTGTGGTACCCTATGCGTAGGAGCGGTGACTTCTATATGCAGTCCCCGGAAGACCAGTGCCGTATGCTCCTACATCATGCAGCGATTGGCAAGGCTTTTGCTGAGGTACTCGGTGGGGGAGGGGAAAGGGTTTTAGATGCGGGGTGAAATTCGAGAGTGATACACAACTTGACGAGAGGCTGATAATCACTCTCAAATGCTGAGCTATGGTTCAAAAATAGAAATTTCAAACTTCCCGGTTTTCGGGAAAAATCGGTCACGATGGAGAAGTCGGATTTCACAGTTTGCTGGCATAGACAAGCTCAGATTCAAAGGATATGGGAGCATAGTTTTCGAACATCACGGCTCATCGAGATGATCTTAGGTTGGCGCAGCTTATGATATTCGTCTGAACTGTTACGGCATTGATGCTGATGATAACGAGTTCGTAGTGGGCTTGGTTGGCAAAGACCTTCATGGTCTCAGCAAGGTACTACTGTTCCCAGGGAAGAGTGAATGACGCTGTTGTAGGTGGTCCAAGAGATGCGCAAGACGGAGCACACCTCTTACTATTTGAAATCCCTCGGGCCCTTCTTTGTGGGAATGCGAGTCTTCTCTCACAGGAGTCGCAGTGAGACTACAGCAGCGTGAAGGTATGGCCGCTGCTGAGTACCATTCTATCTATACTCACAAACACGATTTTTTGATAAGAATCACATAAAGTGGAAGTAGTCTCTGTCTATTTACTCGACTTCAACAGTCTCAACTAAGCCTATCTCGGTTTTGAGTTACCGACTTTCCGCTTTTGGAAACTCAGAATGTCTTGGCAGTTATAACCTGTTTTTTCCTAATGGTTTTGAAACCAGCCAAGAGGGGAGCTCGGGTCACTGCGGAGGAGAATCATACAGTGGCAGCAGCTGACGTGAAACCAGTTGTGGTGAATGGTTCCTCGGAGCCCCATTCAGGGATTGACTCGGCTACTCTTAGATATGCGTAAGATGCTCACGTGCTCTGTTGCAGTGGGCTATGTATATCTCAGATTTCTATCGCTGGGAATTTGGATATCCTTTACGGTTTTTGGCTATTGTCAAGAGTCATTGACTCGCCAGGAGTTCAATGGTCGCCGTTTTGTATGGACCGAGGTGACACTTGTTGCTTACCAGTCTTCTCATCCGACTTGTTTTCAGGCCCTTATCGTGTGTCAATGCATAAGCAACGTTATCGTTTCTGGCACTGTTATTGCCTTTACTCGGACTCCCTCTAGTAAGAGCAATAACAGGTATGTACTACTACTACCTATACATGGCCAGTATATAGCTCACCGTATTGTTTCAGGTGGACGGCTGATGTGCCTACTCGAGACTGGTTTGTTGTAGCCCTGGGATATCTAGGAGCCCACAGTTTCGGCCTAGCTGCTTTAAAGCACATCATATTCCCTCTGCAGGTAGAGCCTTCCGGAAGGGTTGTGGCTTCGTGTGTAGGAGACTTCAGGTCATCATCAAATCGTGTAAGTCCATACCAGTGATGATAGGGGAGATCCTTATAGCTCACCATCCTCCGAGTTTAGCCAAGACCTTTAATGTCATCCAACTCAGTGGTGGAGTGGCACTGTTCATGTAACCTCGCTATATGACCTGTTGTTATCATGATTCGCCCTAGGTATGCAAAGGCAGCATCGTCCTCAGCGGGTAAAGGGCTCACCTGGGACTCTGAGATGCTCTTTGGTAGGCGGGAAACACACATGCATTGGTCCAAGTTGTGGTTCAGGAGCTTTTCTTGCCTGCATGGCATTGGTTTGTGATGCCATATACGGTCCTTACCAGAATAGGATCTGTAAGACGCACAATCCCTCCAATTGGGTTCTCATGTTCAACATGAACTTTTTTGAGCTTGTGGTAAAGCACTCCAGTCATGACCCGCCAGGTCGGACATTTTTCAATTGTCTTCAGGTCGCTCT